GTGATAAAAATCATGCTGATATACATATTTAAATATAAATTTTGACACATTAAGAAAACGTATATTTCTTATTATTGGTTTTAATATACTGTGTTTAATAATTTATCCATTTCCTTTTCTCTTATGTCAAGGTGAATTTTCTTAGGTGTATTACGCAGGTTTATGCACAGAAATAGAACTTGCATACAGGCATAGAGAGATTGCTTCATTGTGAGGAAATGGCTCACACATTTATGGAGGTTGAGAAGTCACATGATCTTTTATATGCAAGAAGGACATTCTGAAAATCTGGTGCTATAATTCAGCCTGAGTTTGAAAACCTGAAAACCAGAGGAGTCATTAATGTAAATCATAGTCCAAGGTAAAGAGAACTATAATGAGGTGTCTCAGCTTTGGCAAGTAAGCAAGAAATGGTAAAACCTCCCATCATTTGCTTTTTGTTCTATGCAGTCTGTCAGTTGGGTGGATAATTCTCCTTCATTTTGAGAAGGGAAATCTACGTTACTGACTCCACTGAGTGAAGTTGACACATAAAGAAAACTTAGTATTATTAGTAAAGGAAACTGAATTAATGACACACCTCAGATTATTCCCTTGTTACATTCCAGAAGTAAATCCCCTGGTTATGCTTTTTTATAATTATGACTAGATTTTATGCAATTCTTTTAGCTCTTCTTTATCACCAAGAAGAAACAATAAAAATAAAATGAATTTTATAAATTGATAAAAAAAAAGCTACATGTTAAATCTCAGTATAAAAAGCTACATGTTATATCTAAAAAATGCAGGGCAGTGCAGAGAATGCACAAGAATCAGGGATAATGAGGAGTTTTGCATAACTGAATTTTAAATTACTCTTTCTAAAATGTATAAATTGTTTTATCCAGTTGTATAGAGAAGCTGAAAAGAGAGGAAATCTTCACATCATACAAATTAAGGACACCATGTTTTAGAAATGGTAATTTTATTTTGATACTAATATTTTTGATGCCTGAAGAGAGTTAAAGGCATAATTTCTGTAGCTATTTTGAAATAAAAATTAAATTCAAAGATGTTGGTCTTATATTTGACTCAGTATTTAAATTTTCACATTTTCAAAAATTTTCCATATCTGTGGCAAAAAAATAATAAAATAAATAAATAACAAATAAATGAAAATAAATAAGTAAATAACAAATACATAAAAATTTATTTGTTCTGCAGATTAACTCTTTATGCCCACAATTGTATTCGATGTTACAGCCAAAATCATCGTTTCTGCTATAACTTCACAGTTTCCAGTAATGTCAGTTCTTCACAGAATGACTTTTCTTAGAAGTTTAACTTATTATTCTGTTTACAGACAGATCCACAGTTTTTTTTTTTTCTTACTCTGTGTCTGAAAGATTCAACTGCCACATCTTCCTGTATTGAGAGTTGAGAAGTGTTAATGTTGGATGTGATCTTCAAGGTGCCTCCTGGATCACTTCAACATCAGAATGCTTTCTTGCCTAGGGTTTTCAGACTTTTACGATGGGCAGATATTACTGGGAGATGGAAGTGGGAGACTCTTGGAACTGGGCTTTTGGAGTCTGTAATGATTATTGGAAAGGGAACAAAGATGACAAGATGGATGAGGTGAAGGGCTCTTCCTCTTTGGATGTGTTAAGGAGGGTTCCCATTACACTCTCTTTACCACCTCTCTACTGGTTTTTCAGTAAGTACTAAGGCCATTGGCTGAATAAGAGTATTCCTAGATTGTGAAGGTAGAACTGTGATCTCTACTAATGTTTCTCAAAGTTTTTTGATATACAGTATTTCTTCCTATTCTTTCTCTCCCCATATCAAAGCTTTTTTCTGCTGTAGTCACTTCTGACCAGACATACATAAGGACTGTGCCGCTAACACTATGGAAAATCCAATATCTAAAGAAGCCCTCTCCCTTGGGCCTTATGAAACATGTCAAACAGAATATATCTTTTTAAGTTTAGGTTACCTCAAATTTTGTAACAACCTACTTAATCTGTTATTAATTGTGGTGATAATATTAAAATCACATAAAGTTTTAAAATTTATGCATTTTTAATTAATTTATTTGGGGAATATAATCACCTATGATACATGAAGTAGGACATATTTTCTGATTTTATTTGTGAAATGTAACAAAATAAAGGAATAGATAATTTTTGATTTAATAAAGGTACAATTCAATGTAAGAGAATGTGTCTCTTTCTTTTCTGTGTTGGTCCATTTTCTGTTCTTTTAATATAATACCTGAATCTTGGTAAATTATAAAGAAAAGATTCATTTATCTCACAGTTCTGAAGACAGGTAAGTTCTAGGTTATGATGCCTGAATTTTTGGTGTGGGTTTCATGCTGAATCTGCTCATAGCAGAGAAGCAGTAGGAGAAATTGTCCAGTGAAGAAAATCTGAACACATATGTGACACCCTTCATAACAACCCACTTTCTAAAAAATGACTCATTTTCCAAGGGCCCAGAATTTACTCCTTCATTCAGGCTCAGTCCAAGGAGAAAGGCACTAATTCTTTTTAATGACTTAAAGACCTCATCTCAAAATACTACTGCTCTATGGAATAATATTTCAACTTGAGTTTTGTTGGGAAAAATCCACATTTAAACCATAGTACTATATAGCCACTCTGTCTATAATTCAGAGTCTGAGAGGTTGTATCTACTTGATTTCTTCCTTTGGGAAGAAATTTAGCAAATGCGAACATTTGAGGTCCCTGGAAATGAGGTGCTTCCCTCATCTATCACTCTGATAATCTGAGGAAGAAATAGGGCCTCCTTGACAGCCTAATGCCTTTGTAGCAGAGGAAATCTCAGGGCAGTGACTTCTATACATTTTTCTTTATAGCCCAGGATTCTTGTATTATAAACCAAAACTCATGCTTCCATACCATACCAAACAATATGTTATTTTTTGAAGTCTCATTGTTTTTACATCCTAAAATCATAATTAGTAACTATTGGACAAAATCATCTTTGCTACAAATCTGTGTAAAAGGGAGGTTCCAGGAAAGTCTACCAAAGCTAGAAAGAATCAATAGAGGCTTCAGGGTGACAAATTTTCACTGCCACACAGAATGGGGTGTGGGGAATGTGGCCATCTTTGCTCTTGCAGTTCATGCTGTGTATGTGGCATTACTTAAGAAGTAGCCCCAAGGAAGAGTCGTGGGTCTCTTTTGGGAAAGCATGAGATTGATGTGACAAAAATAAAAACAAAATTATTTTTCTTTCTTTCTTTCTTTCCTTCTTTTTTCTTTCTTTCTCTCCTTTTTTTTTTTTTTAAAGAAATGGAACGCAGGGACACTTTACCACTGAACCACATCTTCAGCCCTTTTAAATATTTTAATTAGAGGTAGAGTCTTTCTGTATTGCTTAGGGCCTCACTAAATTGCTGAGGCTTCATTTGGACTTCTGATACTCTTGCCTCAGCCTCAGGAACTGGGATTACAGGTGTGGGCCACCTCATCTGGTGAGGAAAACCAAATTTCTAAACTTAATCCCTCTCCACCTGGGAGAATAAAACTAAACAAAAGTCAGAAAGAAAAATGTTTACAAATATTCAAAAATACATACTAAAAAAAATGCATATGATGACACCCTCTTTCTGTTCTTAAAGGTGAAAAATAAAAGAATAAAACTGAAAATCTTTAGATATAATCTGAATTTGGGGATTTAATTTTTTTAAGTCAGTAACTGTGGGCAAGAGTGTGTCCCTGGCCTGGGGGGTGCCACTGTGCTGGATCCCTGGAAAAGGTTTTCAGTACTTTGAATAATCCCCTTTTGCCGCTTTTCCCTCCCCCACAACCATCAATTTTTTTTTTTTTATGTCAGTAACCCTGGACAAGACTCTAAATGTTTGTTTATGAAGATTGGAGAATGGATTACATCAAAATTTTCTACCTGAAAACTAATTACCCACACATCCAAACCACTCACACTAATCTAATCGCCCATGCTAATCTAATTACCTACACTAATTACCTAACACTGATTGGAAACACCCTAAATGCAATCAAGGAAGAAGTGGGTGTGGTCTTCAGGGACTCAATAAAAGTGCACTCCAGGAGACCAGCTCATTCTTCTCCCGAGTAGAGTTTGAAGCTCACCTGGCTGAATGACTTCAAAATCGATCCCCTCCACACCTTGAGTGCCTGATCCTGAAGCTTAATTCATAGTTTCAATTCTGTAGCAAGAACTGCTGAAACCATAGAGTAATTCTTAAGGTACGTATACAATTGCCACATGAGCTGTAGCTACTACTTTCCCAAACAAAATCAAATGTAATTTCGTATTTTAAACTTTTTTTCTTTTTTATTTCTATTTATTTATTTATTTATTTATTTATTTATTTATTTATTTATTATTGTACTGGAGACTGAATTCAGAGGCACTGGACCACTGAGCCACATCCCCATTTCTATTTTGGATTCTATTTAGAGACAGGGTCTCACTGAGTTGCTTAGAGTCTTGCTTTTGCTGAGGCTGGTAAGGAACTTGCACTGCTTCTGTCTCAGGTGTGTGCTACCATGCCCAGTGCTCCTACATACTTTATAAGCACTCTGAAACTAGTTCTCAGATAATGTATAATTTTTTACCTGTAGGTCCAAAAATATGTTTAGGAATATTTTATCTCTTCCATTCTTAGAAGCTCAACTATAGTAGAAATGAGAACCCAGATTTTTAGCTAAATAAAAACTGTAAAGAAGTCTTTGTTTTTTGGAGCAGATTAAAATAATCACATATTTTCACAGTATGAAAGGTGCTTGATAATAGTTCAGACTTGTATAGAGAGCTACTCACTTAAATATTTGATTTATTTGCATTCTTTATTTACTCAGTTTGTTCTGTTTTGTCATGTACAAAAGCAAGTTTATTATTCCCTGGACAGTAGTGTGCTATTCAATGAGAATATGAGTAAAAATTGGTTCAGGTATTTATCTCTTTAAGGGTAGATGATTAAATCCTTATGGTTTTCTTCCCTCAGAATAATGGATACAGAAATACCACAAGTGTTCCAGAAAGAACTCACTTGCTCTGTCTGCCTGAAGTACCTTATATACCCAGTCACCATAGGCTGTGGGCACAGCTTTTGTTGGCCCTGTTTCTTTGTTCCCTGGGGACAAGCCCAAATTCTTACCTGTTGCCCTGTGTGCAGGGAGCCATCACAGCAGGGAGATGTCAAAAATAATATTCTTCTGAAGAATCTTACATCTATCGCAAGGCAGGCTCATCTCAGGCAATTCCTGAACTCTGAGAAAAATATATGTGTGACCCACCAGCAGACAAAGAAGATTTTCTGCGAGGAGAACAAGAACCTGCTCTGTTGGCTCTGCTGCAACCCTCAGGAGCACAGGGCTCACAACCACCCTTCAGTGGAAAGGGCTGCTGAGGAATACCAGGTAAGTGACACCAATAAAACACTGTGAAAGCTGAGCAGTGGAGCTAAAAGATTACAAAAGAGCTGAGGATCTGGATGATGATGATTGCCCTACTCTTTTCTGTATGCTCAGTAATTTTATAAGCATCAAGGAAGAAGCTAAAAACCAAAGATGTAAGCAATAAATAAAATATGCAAGCATGCCTGCCTTGGTGGAGCTTGATTCCACAGAGGTAGTGATAAAGGGGTTGGTCACTTTAATTTTAATTTTCATGGTTAAGGCATTAGAAACTGCTCATTTTGAAAAGTGTTACTGGCTACCAAAATGACAAATGCAATACATTTGTATACAGCATGAGTATTTACTAACACTACGGAATAAATAAGATAAAAGGCTTTGGGGAATTAGCAGGGTAGAGCATCAGAAAACAAAATTCTGAAGCCAATTGCCACACTATCTAAAAACTATTCATCTTTATCACTATCCCTAGGCACATGGCTACATTATGCACTTTTGCAGTCTGAAATCTCCTAAAATTCACAATCATCAATAGCAAAAGGAAAGCAATGATTTTTTTTCTCACTAAAGTACTTATCTCTTACTTATTTGTGATTCTCTCTATCATTGTGAGATTGAAACCAAATGTGCTTGCTTCTCTATTGTTTGAGTTTATATTTCTTTTACAGGAGAAGCTCCTAAAGCAAATAAGATCATTATGGGAAAAGATCCAAGTAAATCAAAGAAATATAAATGAAGAGAACAAAATAATCAGTCCATGGATCGTAAGTATGAGTCTATTTCCTTGAGACTCAGCTTGAAACAGACATACTAGAAATCCACCCATTATTCACTATAGCACCATGGTGTAAGGATATTAGGTACATCATTTCGTGTGGCTTGGAATCCTAAAAGTGAAATTTGAATTTCTTGATCCAACAAATGACCAGGCAGTGTCATAGGGAGGTTTGAGATGAAAATTAATTTTCTAACCAGAGATCAGAATATTGCACATAGTGATTTAAGTGACAGCTCTAAATTCTAATGGCTTGCATGTAGAAATTTATATTTCAAGGATAAATTGTCAATCAAAACCTTTTCTTAAGATATTTCAGGCATTCATGAAGCAGATAAAAGTGGTTGGAGGGAAGCATGGGTTTGGTTCCTTGCCATTGTTATAAAAACTAGGGAAAGAATGAAGATAAAAGAAGAGCGAATTTCTAATTTCTGAAATGTGGATGCATATAAAATTGTGGCATATGTAACATACTGGTAAAAAGCCAATGGTCAAAGAGAGAGGTTTAGGTGGAGGAGGATAAAATCATACTGGAATTGTGATCTAGACAATCTATCCCTACAGTACTATGTGTATCTCAGGGAAGAGCTGATCAGGGCTGAGTACAGGAAAATACATCCAGTTCTTCATGAGGAGGAAAATCGACATCTAGACATTCTTAGAAAGGAAAGCAAAAGAATTTTAGAGGAACTTAAAAAAAGTGAAGCCAATATGGTTCAAAAGAAGAAAGACTTAAGAGAAATATATGAGGAGCTGGTGAAAATGTCCCATAAAACATATGTGGAGCTGCTCCAGGTAAGAACTGAGTTGTGCATGAAAGTATTTTATATGATTTGGTGTTCTCATTTTGACCACATTATTTGGTAGTTTTTTATATTTCCTGCATCAATTATGGGGTTCTTTCCTCTTTGGATATAATCCACTTAAAGTTTACCTTCTATCCTGACTATAAATAAGCAAGATTTATGAAACTTTGTGAGTAGCTATCCTAGAATTTTTTTTTTATTTTTTCTGTTGTATCTTGCTTCTGTAAGATCCAGAAAAATAACAATTTATTCATGAACATTTCATTTTTTGCCTGCCATTTGACAATATGCAGACATCTTGGAAAAGCTTGTGTTCGCTTTCTTCTGTTTAAAAGTTATGGAATTGGGGACAGTAAACACTGTGTACTGATATCCTTCATTCTCACACTTTTTAGACCCTCTGGATTCTGATTTAATCACAAATTCAGAATCTTTAAATATGCTTTACTGGTACTGTCCTGAGAGATGAAAATGAATTCATAAGAAGCATTGATGTGATGATATTTGATGCTACATGATCTTTCCAAAAACAAAATATTATTCAGTTTCTTAAAAAAAATAAGCCCTTTTTTTGTTTTCTTTGCAGGACTTGGGAGACCTATTGGCAAGGTAAATTTTGACTTTAGTGTAAACTGGGATACCATGGAGAGCTATGAAAGTGTTTAAGTTGTTTCTAACAAAGTGAAGGCATAGTTTATGTAGAGAGTAATCAACTGTGTGTTCATGTGTTTGTTTGAATATGATTTCCTCTTCCCCTTTATGAGAAGTCAGCCTCTATTTCCCCTGTTGGTCGAGGGATATATGTCATCCTGGGCTGAGTGTTGATGTTCATAAATGCAACCATGTATGATTTGACATTGTAAATCAGAAACACTGAGGTGCACGGGACAGTTTTTCCTAGTTAGCTAATGAGAGACATGGGTACCTCTGAGAAATGGGTTGTTAACTGGCAAATTAAGTAGGAAAGTTTCCTAGAAACAGTCCCCTCTCATGTTCACAGAGGTACATTCATGAGAAAAAGGTTTCAAGAAACAGTTTCAGCAGAATTGTTGTTTAGTTCCTTAAAAACTCTGATGTCATGTTTGTCACCAGAAGATTCATGTCCTCTTCCTACTTTCAGGAGTGAATCAGTGCAGCTGCACTTGCCTCAGCCTATAAAGCCAGCACTTCCTGCCCAGACCATCACTGGACTGATAGACAGGCTCAAGTGTTTCCAAGGTGAGTGTCAGCCCAGTGATGGGAGCATAGTGTAATGACTTTCAATAATGATTTTCTATGGGAAACCTTTCCATTTATTAACCTTTAATTTACCCAAAGGGAATGGTCTGCCAGTTGGTATTTATAATTATATTTAGTAATCTGATCACCATGATTAAATAAGGAAAAAAATAAGTGACAACTGGTAAACTAATAAATGTGATTTGGGCTATACATACAAAACCATTTCAATCAATAAGACAATTATAAATTAGTTCAGTATGTTCCATTTTTAAATTAAGTGCACTGAGTGATGAAGGTTATATAAACATTACCCTTAAAATGTCTTAGAAATTGAATGTGTGATATGTATTTTATTAAAAATATACATATGTATATATATAATATACACACAATATACAAAATGCATTAAATTTAATATAATAGCATGTATGAACAAACATAAAATAACTGAATGCACAGAGCAATATTTCACAAGCATCCAAAAAAAGACAAGTTGGTATATGATGAAGCAGTTTTTAGATTTCCATGGTAGAACTAGATAGGAACCATAGCAAGGAATTATTTCTTTGGATTGAATGGTAATGCAGACCTCCAATTTATCAGATGAAATGAAAAGTAACAAGCTGGAAGTAGACTTGCCCACCCTTTTATTACAGTGTCCTTATATTTATCAGTGGTTTCATTGTGATTGGACTATTTTTTCTTCTGCAGTATTCTAGAAACCTGTGAGTGCAATGCACTTCAGCCACAATTACCCCTCTTCTTCTGCCCCCCTCCCCCCCACATTATGTCTCAGGTAGACCTTCTCATCTAACAGCAATTTAAAAGTTGGTTTTGATTTGAATATTCTCTTCATTCTACAGTGGAGATATCCTTTGAAAATACAGTGTCCAGTGATAACCTCAAGCTATTTGATGATGTGAGAAGTTTGAGATTTGGGCACGTCCTTCCAGACTTATCTTTGAATTCTGATGGAATTAAATATTTTGCTGCATGGGGAACAGAGACTTTCAACTCTGGGAAACTGTACTGGGAATTAGATATGAAGGACCCTTTGGACTGGGCTGTAGGAGTCTGTAAGGATTCCTGGATAAGAAGGAATGGCACAGTGATTGAATCCGAAGACGTGTTTCTTCTCCTTTTTGTGAAGGAAGATGATGACCATAGTCTCTTGACAACCTCCCCAATGCTTTCTCACTATATAGAGAAGCCTCAGGGCCGGGTTGGTGTGTTTCTTGATTTTGAGAGTGAAAGTGTGAGTTTTGTGAACGTTGCCAAGAGTTCTCTTATATGGCGGTACCCTTCTGGCTCTTTGAATTTCCCAGTCAGGCCTTTTGTTCACACTGGCCACAAGTGAACAGGGATAAGTCAGGAACTCTATGCCTGGGGAATTTACATTTCAGGAAGCCCTTCCTAGTTGAAGTTTACAATACTGTACTCTAGTGCTTTTTAAGTAATTTGTACTTGATCCAGACATGGTGGCACATGCCTATTAATTCACACAATTTGGTTAATTTGGGAGTCTGATGTAGAAGGACTTCAAGTTTGAGGCCAGCCTGGGCAACTTAGCAAGACCCTGTCACAAAAAAATTAAGAAGAAGAAGAAGAAGAACAGGGCTGGGAATGTAGTTCTTTGGTAGAATACCCCTGGGTATAATACCCAATGAAAAAATAAAAATGGCATTTTATTGAATATAACTTTCTTTTTAAATATAAAGACAGTGTAAATTACCAAATTGTGTTGACTCAATTTTTTTTTTTTCTTTTAATGATGGCCATCTTTTGTGGAACATATAATGATTGGCAAACTATGTGTTCCAGATGCACTACATGCCGTGACTGCTTACATGTTTTGTGAATTTGTCAGATTTAAGATTGCATAATTTTATGATTTAAGCTGAATGACATTTTTAGGATGGATTTTTATATCATTCTCTGCAATAAACATTATTTTGATGTTTTCATCTTTCTATTGATCTAAGAAAATTTAATTCATTTTTCCTTGGGAAATAAAACAAATGAAGTTCTTTCTCACACTCAGGACAAGGACTCATTTTTCACTGAAACCAGTAAACTTGGACCTTCCTCTTTCCCTTATATTTCCTAAACTATTTTAAAGGAGTTTTATGTTAACAGCAAAACTGAGAGGAAATTAAAAAAAAAAAAAAAATTACATGTATTAACTGCCCCCTCTTTCTAAATACAAGTGTGTAGCTTCACTGGTTTCAAAAATCCCTAGTCAGAATGATACATTTGTTAAAACCAATGAACTTATTTTAATACACAGACTATGCGGATATCACATATTTTAATATCATATAATGAGGAAAGAAGTTTTTGTGTGTGTTCTTTCTTTCTAAAAATATATCTCTAGTCTATGTATGAGAAAAATAGCTGGAAACCAAAACTGGAGATCATTTTACAAAAGACCTATGTAGTATTCCTCAAAATTGTGAAGGTCGAGCTAGTCAGACAGAGGAAAATTTGAAGAAAGAAAGCTTAGAGGAAAAACAACCATCAGGTGGGGAATTACAAGAGGAGGCTGCTACTAACTCCATTCTATCACCAGAGGGCGTAATTCAACCAACAGCTCCATCTACAGCTGAGAGGCCCTCAACATTCAACTTCCGTAGTTGATGGACGGAATCCTGAGGCAGGACCCCAAATATTAGCATGCCCTGTACTTGAGCAGGCAGAAGGGCAACAAATTCACTGTGCTCTAGATTTCAAAACAGTGAAGCAATTAAAGGAGGCTGTAACAACCTATGGGCCACAAGCACCCTTCACTGTGAGCATGGTCGAATCCATTACCAACTTAGACATGACGCCAGCAGATTGGGCTAACATGTGTTGATCTGTGCTAAATGGAGGACAGTATTTGTTATGGAAGGTTGCCAATGAGGAATTTTGCATGGAGACAGCTAGGCGAAATGCAGCAGCTGGTTACCCTCAAAGAAATCTAGATATGTTATTAGGAAAAGGACCTTATGAGGGTCAACGGCAACAAATTGAATATGATCCTGGCGTATACGCACAAATTGCTGTAGATGCGGTTGGGGCATGGAAAACTTTACAGGGGCATGGAGATTTACAAGGACAATTATCTAAGGTAATACAAGGAACTAATGAACCTTACGCTGAATTTGTAGATAGGCTTATTCAAACAGCTTCTAGAATATTTGGAGATACAGAAGAGGCAATGCCATTTATAAAAAAAAAAACTGGCTTATGACCAAGCAAATCGTTGCTGCAGAGAGGTCATTAGACCATGGAGACATGAAGATTTAAACACATATATTAAATTATGTAGAGACATTAATGAACAAGGGCAAGTCTTAGCAGCAGTACAACAGGCTTCAGATGCCAGGCCAAAAACATGCTATAATTGTGATCAAACAGGACATTTTAAAAGGAATTGCCCCATAGGAGGAGGGTTTAACAAAGCTAGGTATCAAAGGAATAGAATACCGGGTATTTGCCCACGATGCCGTAGAGGGAAACATTGGGCTAATGAATGCCATTCTCAAACCACCATAGAGGGTATTCCATTATCAAAAAACAGACAAGGACCAAGTGTTTACCCACAATATCGTGGAGAAAGGCATCAGGCTCCATTGCCCAAAAACGGACTGGAGGGCCCAATGCTCCGGGGCCCAAAACCACAACTATACGGGGCAATGGAGGAACCCAGCAGCACCATCAAGGTAGTGCCCAGGACGCATTATCCATTAAATCCCTCATCAGACAAACTAGAGGTAGTGCAGGGTTGGACATCTGTGCCTCTGCCAGAGCAGTACTAACTCCAGAGATGGGAGTTCAAATCATCCCCAGAGGAGTAAAAGGACCTCTTCCCCAAGGAACAGTAGGCTTATTATTGGGACACAGTTCTTCAACACTAAAAGGACTTATGATAAGTCCTGGGGTAATTGATCCCGATTTTGAGGGTGAAATAAAAATTAAAACTAGTTCTCCAAGAGGTATATCAGTAATTTCACCAGGAGATAGAATAGCACAATTATTAATAATACCCAGCCTGCATGATAAATTTTCCAGTCGTACTGTAGAAAGAGGTTCCAAGGGATTAGGCTCCACAGGTGTAGATTGAGCTATGCTGTCTTTAAATTTAGATTCTTGCCCCATGCTAAAACTAAATGTTCAAGGACATGACTTTAATGGGCTACTGGACCCAGGTGCTGACCTTAGCATCATATCTCGTCAAGAATGGCCAAAACATTGGCCATTACAACAAGCCACTTAGATGCTTCGAGGCCTAGGAGTGGCAACTAATCCCCATAGAAGTGCAATGGTATTAGATTGGAAGGATCCTGAAGAATGTGAAGGAACTATACAGCCCTATGTATTGGATCATCTTCCTATAAATTTATGGGGACGAGATGTCCTAGATCAATTAAGTTTGACATTAACAAAGAGCATCAATCCTAACGTGCCCACTACTAGGACTAGACAAGGCTTTAGGAAAGAAAAAAGATTAAGAGAACAAGAACAAGGTATTACAGCACCAATTCAAATAGATCAAGAAATAAATAGACATGGATTGGGTTTTCAGAAAGGGCCACTGAGACGATCAAAATTACTTGGAAATCAGAAAGACCAGTGTGGGTTCCTCAGTGGCCCCTGATTAAAGAAAAGATACAAGTAGCCCATGACCTGGTCAAACAACAATTAGTGGAGGGACATATACAACCTTCCATATCTCCCCATAATACTCCCATTTTTGTCATTACAAAGAAATCTGGTAAATGGAGATTATTGCAAGATTTAAGAGCCATTAATAATGAGATGGTTATTATGGGACCTGCTCAATCAGGGATTCCCCAATTGTCTGCTTTACCAAAAACCTGGTATGTTTTAGCTGTAGATATTAAAGATTGTTTTTTTTTTTCAATTTCAATTCATCCCGAGGATAGTCCACATTTTGCAATTACTATCCCTGCACCAAATCATGAAGGACCTGATCAGAGATATGAATGGAAAGTATTCCCTCAAGGGATGGCTGATAGTCCAAGTATGTGTCAAATTTATGTTAACAAAGCAATCCAGCCACTTAGAAATCAAAATCCTGAACTACAAATATTTCGCTATATGGATGATATGTTATTGGCACATAAAGATAAAAACACATTGCTAGAATATTATGCCACACTTACAAATTTATTAAAAAAATTATAATCCAGAGATAGCAATAGATAAAGTACAATTAAATCTTCCAATTAATTATTTAGGAGTTCTATTATCCTCAACCATGGTCCGTCCACCAAAAATTCAAATACGAGTAGATCAACTCAAATCACTTAACGACTTTCAAAAGTTATTGGGAGACATAAATTGGATAAGGCCTTGTCTACGCATACCAACAGGAGAGTTGGGACCTTTATTTGATATCCTAAAAGGTCCATCAGATCCAAATTCACCCCACATGTTGACGCCTGAATCAAGAAAGGCATTAAAAATCATTGAAACATATATGGAAAATATGCATTTGGATAGAATTGATATAAGTATGCCTTTATTATTTAATGTACTGCCAAAAAAATATTCCTACAGGAGTATTTTGGCAAGACAGTCCATTATTGTGGATACATTTATCTTATTCTCCTAACACTATTCTTACTAGATATCCTGAGGCTGTAGGGCAATTAATACTCAAAGGACTAAAAGCAGCAAAGGGAGTGTTTGGGATTTCTCCCAACAAAATTATTACTCCATATACTATGGATCAAATTGATGAGTTAGCTAATGAGTTAAATACTTGGGCAATAATCATGTGTAAATATAATGTTTTGTTTGATAATCACTTACCATCTAATCCTTTGTTGTCTTTTTGGTCTAAGCATCCTGTAGTTTTTTCCAAAGATGACAAGAAAAACCCCTATCATGAATGCTCCAAATATATTCACTGATGGGTCAAATAATGGTACAGCAGTGGTAGTCACCACTGATCAAACTTTTACATTTTTAGTACGCAAACAATCAGCTCAAAAGGTTGAGCTTAATGCAGTATTACAAGTTTTTATGATGTTTAAAGATTCTGTATTTAATTTATTTTCTGATAGTATGTAGTTAATGCTATAGTATCCCTTGAAGATGCTGGTAGGATTTCCCCTTCTTCTACTGTTTTCTCTTTGTTTTCCACTATACAAAGTCTAATCTGGTCCAAAAAAGATCCATTCTTTATAGGACATATCAGGGCACATACAGGATTGCCTGGAGCCCTTAGTTTGGGCAATGAATTAGCAGATAAATCTACACATGACATACATATTTTCTCCACAATAGAAGAAGCTATAAATTTTCATAAAAGGTTCCATGTCAATGCTAATACTTTACAAAAGCATTTTAAAATAACTAAAGAACAAGCCCGACATATAATAAAACAATGTCAAAATTGTGTGACATTTTTACCACAAGTTAATCTTGGAGCCAATCCTAGAGGACTGATACCTAACCATATTTGGCAGATGGACGTCACACACTTGCTAGAATTTGGAAAATTAAAATTTTTGCATGTTACAGTTGATACTTCTCCCAGATTTTTGATGGGCTCCCTTCATGCTGGAGAAAAATCTA